TTTAGCTTCCTATTGTTAAATTCAATGTTGAAAGTGATTCCTTTTGATTTTATCGCTTTAAAAGTACCTAGTAAAATTTATTCGATAGACAGACAGACAGACAGGATTTACGACTATTTTATTGCCAGTAGACGCATTGTTATGTTAAAACAGTTATGTTATTAAATTTTAACTCTTATCTCGTTAGACGCGAGATCACAACTATGATTTGTAAGGCCAAAGACTTGAGATCAATTCTCAGAAGAAATACAAAAAAGTTTACAAGAATTTGGCCAATTGTCGTACAACTGGCATTAGCAACCTTATCTCAAATTACAACAGTCTTTTTTTGAGTGGGAAAGTCATAAATTGACTTCTCCCGTTCAAAGTGGAGCGAGATTGAGCGTCAGACTCTTACTGACTAAAAACTAACTTTTTTCTCCTACTCCGGGCTAGGGCTGCAGCATGTAATTGCACTTGCACCAGGCTGAATCGATGATCAGGGCTGATACCCAAGTGGATCATCTGTGGTGATGTAAAGGCTCTTTAAGGACAGCCGGGGTTGCGGGTTAAGCACAATGAGTCACCGCGACCTCGGCCCAGAGCAGGCGAAGGAACGGGGGATTTTTAGTCAGTAAGAGTCTGACACACTTTTACAGCCTTTTTTTTGTCATGTCAAATGATTTTCCCCTGACAAATAAAGGCTCTTTAAGGAGCGCATCGTACGCTTGGGTAAAATGACAGACCCCTTCTTTTTCGAAGTGAATTAGAATGTGATTTACTTTTGTGCCTACCTCAGTCGTGATGATGTTAAGTCGTTCTTATTCTGTCTAATGATAAGCCAAGACAAAGTGCTCGTAGCAACTAAAAATAAATTTAAACCTATTAGCACCTAGGTACGTTTTTGAATATGCAGCGTCTTAGCTCGATTAGACGACCGTTGCAATTCAAATAGACATAGGTAATTAGATACTCAAATACTAGGTCATAGACTGCAGTCTAGACTGGATTTTGTTTGCACTCTCATAAAACGTGTGATGAGAACTTTTAGAAATATATTTTTGCATTTTAAAATGTAATTGGGAAACCGTATTTCAGTCCATTTTAAGACAAATGTCACAATTATTTTGAAACATTAATTAACAAAAGAAGTGCGGGAGATGCTGACTCGAGCCGAGTTAGACCACGGCTTCGCAGAAAACTGATATGAAACAACGCTTAACTTTTGTTTAATCCTCATAAAAGTGAGTTTACTAGCGATCCAAATATCAATTTTCTTCCATTCCTAAACCCCAAATCCCAACTCCTCAAATCCCTATCTCTCATGTCGGACGTGTAAATGGGCCGATAGCTTACCATCCGATGAAACATATAGGTACTTGTTGGCGTTCTATCACAAAAAAATATTGTAAGAGTTATTATAGTTATACAAAAATTAACTAAAAATCGCGGGTTACTCACGTGTAAATATTGAGAAAAGCTCTACTAGTTTCGAACCACAGAGGAGTTCTTCCTCATGAGCAGCGTGCGCGGACGCGGCGACGTCGCTCAACCTACCGAACCAAGAACCCCTCTGTGGTTCGAAACTAGTAGCTTTTCTCAATATATACACGTGAGTAACCCGCGATTTTTAGTTAATATAGTTATACAATTGTTCAAAATTCACTCCACTATAAACTAGTTATCGCCATCGGTGATTCACTTCGAAACGACGCAACGCGTGTACTATTTATTTAAGCTTCTAGCTTCGAAGGACCAACAAAAAGTTTAATTATCTTTTGTAACTCATGATCTATGGGGTCAGTAACCTTGTAAGAAAGTCTGTTTCGAATTATGTAAGTACCTTGCTCCTCGCCACTCCCATAATTTTAACGCGTGATGTTACATTTTAAGAGATTTATTGGTATTTTTAGTTTAAAAAGACCGTTTCTCAATTATAAAGACATTTTTAAATACATTGTTTATAATAATTCTATTTTTTATAATTATTTGCAATCTACACTCTGTCTCTTCTGTCATACAAACACATCTGTCGGTACTTGTACGAGACTACAGACTGCCTAAGGGCAGTTTTGTTATGATAACAACATAGCCCTTCTTTGTTATTTAGAAGTCAATAAAGAAAGCCATACTATTGAATATGTATCGTTCACAGATGCTTTAACAACCAATTATTACGGACAAACGGACAGACTTACACTCATATACATCTTTCATTCTCAATATTTCAAGTACTTACTAAGTTACACCAACCAACGTTACTATAACCATTTGAAAATAACCATCAGCCCTTATAAACAGATAATAAAGTCTAAATTCGTTTAACAATAACTTTATTGTGAGAAAAAAATATCTTTGTTCGTAGCACGGGTGAAACAAAAAATGTGGGGCCTTAGATGACGTAACGGGTCAGTGAACTCGGACACCATGGATGGATTGAAAGCCATGAATCGAATCTTTGATCATTCTACAGATATATTTTGATCAACACAAGTAGTAGTTCATGGACCTAAGGATAAAAAAGTGGTTACGTAACTATGGTAAAAGAAAGATGTAATGGATGGTGAAGATGTGGAAAGTTTTTTTTAGATATTACGCAGTATGAGCTCATCAGGGTTTTTTTGCCATAAAGAAAGATCGGAGTAAAAAGTATATCCTTGAACAGAAAAATGGGCAAAGCGTATCAACAAAAAGATAATATGGACGATGATGATGAAAGGTGGGGATAGTTGTTTGTAGAAAATAGATGTTTTGCTACAAATTTTGGAACCTAAAAACGCCACAAACATCCCCAGAACAGAATTTAATCACATGGTCTAAAACACTAATCCAAACCATTTTAAATTTGACTATCGATGTCAAAGTACTGTAGCGGAAGAGTATTGTGATAGCTTTCAATCGTCCCTTGAAATATCCCGGAAGACGTCAAGAGTGACAAGGTTTTTTTAAATTTTAATTTGTACGCTTAAATCTTGATTGTTGATGTGGGTATTTTTAGCTTAGACACTACAGCTGATAATAATTCAAATGTTGTTTGGGAATGGGATAAGGATAGGCACGAATAAGATCAAATCTATTTATGAACACTTTACAATATTTTTGAAAATAAAATGAAGTTAAAATATTGTTCCACAGAAATCGGAGGGGTTTATAACTGTTTGATAATTACTTCCTTGTAGTTGCGGTTTCATTCTCTGATTCTAATTGTTTTAACCTATATTAGCTAGTCCTTTCCAAGAATCCGATTAAATATCAGAAACACAAATACTGATTATATTTATTAAATGGTCAATGGCATCGCTGACACATGCCACTCCAAAACGATGACCCTATATGGCAATGTTAAAATCTTCATCAACATTAGGATTATAAAACGCACACCCACCATCTATGTAGCCTGTTAAAATTCTGAGTCATTCTTAATATTATTATCACGCCATGTTTAATTTTCTTTTTTGTTCTTATTCGCGTGTTACTTGCCACTTTTTTCTCCATATGTTTTGTCTATTTTTACAAAGTGATTAATTACTTTTGTTGTTTCTTTATGTATCATCTAATGAACAGTGAATCGTTTCTGGACTTGTTAATTATGATCTGTGTTGTGCAGATTCATTTAAATGATGGCTACTGGTTTTTATTCCCGTATTTTTTTCTTTAACTTCTAATGGTTCGGTGTTTTGATGTTGAGTCTTTTTTACTGTTGATTCTTCCAAATTTTAGATACCCTTGAGGTACCCTTAAACGGCTGTTACCTAGAATAGTTTCGAGTTTCAAAAGAATATTATTAATGGTTTGTTCGATTCAAGACAACAACCTCGTACTCTTCAGTCATCTGTGACCGTGGTACTAGTCTGTAAATTTATTTTATTACCATCTTTTTTATGTTTGTTAGTAAGAGCTGCAGTTCTAAACATACCTATTTCAATTTTCCTGCTTCGAGTCCTAAAAAGTGTTATTGGTTTTCTTTCTGTCATGAATGATGAAATTAAATATGATCAAATTTTTAGATAAGTGTAGTTATAAACTGACTTTGAGGTCACGTGTTTTGTGACGCGTTCTAAAAATATGTCATATTTACTTAGTACGATTTATTTTACCTTTTTTGTAATTTTTCCTTCATCATCAAACCTTAATACATGTTTAGTTAGTCAAATTATTTCAGTGTGCTATAAAATTATATCTCATTGGTTAAGTTGCATCAATAAAGTATCTAAGGTCATTAACCCTATTGGATCTTATAACTCTTATAAGCGCAGTATCCGGTATTGAGTTTAAAGATCAAATTATTGGTATTCGTTTAAAAATGTAGTTTGTAATAGACATATTTTTTTCTGAAACAGTTGAAATTACTTGGGCATTTATGTCGATGCGTTTGTCATCCATAATAAGAGATACTGAATAATAATACCAAGTAAAGAATGCAGTTTAAAGGTCAAAGTAACGCCGTTGAATGCAACATTTAATTTTGGTCAGCCTACATTTAAAGTGCACTGAGAAAGTGGATCTACAACATTCTGTACTGAATTATTACTTTCACTGAACTTTATGAAAACCCCGAGGAAGAGATTTATGCCAGACATGTTAAATATAGAAGACGAAATACTTACGAATGCATATATTCTGTAGTTGGTTCATGTAGTCTGGCACAAAGCCAGACATCACATTAAAACAAAACAGAAACCAACTAAATACGTAAGGAATTTATTAATATTGCCACAAGCGTAGTCCAGGAGCTTAAGTAATCAATAGCTATCAACGTTTACACAACTTATTTGTACTATTCACAGCAGATAACCAACCTGGCCCATATTTCACAATTATGATACCCAGTACAAACATGGCCCCATAAAATAAAAATGCAGTGATCAATTCCCCTGCTGGTCCATTATGCAAGACGATGCTTGAATACGAAATGAGCTGGCCAAGATTGACACGGGATTATAAATATTGCGGTGAAAAATTGCCTCAATTGTTACAATGTAAGTTTATGGTTGCTTATTGAAACAATAGTATGTACTGACCTGTCATTTGCAGCTGTCTTCTGGATGCAGGGGTGCGAGGCGTGCGCGGGGTGCGAGCCGCCCGGGGAGTTCTGGGCGTGCGAGGAGTACGCGGCGAGCTCGTACTACTCCCAGCATTCCTCCTGGAGGGAGAGCCCAACACCCTCAGGTCTGTGTTCTCCACACACGCCAGCGCCTCTGTCGCCATCCTCACAGGACTTTCTGCGTTCTCTTTATCCTCTTCACAAAACTTAACCGGAGAGTCCAACTTTGCAGATTTATACATGCACTCTGTCTCAATGTCGAAATTGAAGCGCCTGATGAAGCGTTTCCTCTCTCTGGCGTACTGCTCAGCCATTAATCGCTTCGTCTCATCCCGGTCAGGCGCTCCGAACAAGCACTTGCAGCTACCGCGTCTCCTCCTTGGAGTGTTTGAAGTCCTCAGTGCCATACCAGCTGACATCTCGAACCTCCTTTGCTTGGGTGTACGTCCTCCGGCCGCCATATCGTAGCGTAGCGCGCGTCAGGTGAGCACTGACTGGTTACCGAGAAACATCTGACTAATCTCCCGAGAGAAAACAGCTGTCCGCAGGTAGCGTGCGAGAGGGAGGATAGGTTTGCCGGTGAGTTAGAGCGGGCGAGGTTCGCACCTGGCGGCCGCGGGACGCGCCAATTCTAACCTATAAGCGCGGTGTGGCCGGCGTGTGCGCGCGCGCTCTTCCCGTCTACGACTGACGCTCGATGTTTTCCCGCGCATCGCCGCGTGCGCCGATTTTGGCAGTCACTTGGCGCGCAAACCTTAACAATGGAAGCAAGGACGCTTTTTATACAGGGATACAGGTGGACTCCTTGAAGGGGAAGAAAAGAATAGTCTACAGTATAAATAAAGCATTCAACATTGAAATATTGTCGTTGTTAGCCATAGTAAGGTGCGATGTTTCCCGCGCGAATTATTTATAGATTCGTGTGACAACGTTATCTCAGTCTTGTTTAGATAAAGTGGACATTACTGCCCAGTTCTATTTTTTGATAATTACTCTGCTTCTGCTATAATGAGTTAAGTATAACAGAGGTTTTAGTAGTTCAAATTCAAGGTCGATTTGAGAAATGTTGCTTGCTATTTTTCTGATTTTGTGAACTGCTAAGGCTTGCACAGGTAAAAAATCGATTCTCGTTTGTTACCTTAACGAATATTTTGCATTTTATGTTTAACAACATCTCATGTCAAACGGCATGCGCGTTAATTGTATATTTTATTGGTTATTTGATAAAATGTCAATAAAAGGAATCGGTTTTGGTACATTTCGTATAATATAAGGTGGAGAGAACAGGCTGTTTCTAACTTAGCAATGTGAGTACGTGGGTTTGGTCATTAAGGTTTTATTTGGTTTTTGATGACATTTTGTAGGTTATAAGATGCATATGAATGAAATTGATTTCATTTGTTAACCTCTTTCTACCTGATTTCATTCATTTGATCTCGATTCTTATCATTATCATCATCATCATCATCACCTAGACTAAGTTCTAAATTCTTCACTTTTAAAGTAGTAGGTTTCAATTTCACTTTCAAATTGGTGGAATTAGCAAATGACTTCTCTTATAGATGCGGCGAGAGGGAGTGTCAGACTCCTACTGACTAAAAACCAACCCGACTTCCTTCTCCTTCTTCAGGCCAAGGTCGCCCGTACATTATTTTGCTTACCCCGCAACCATGGATGGCGTCTAAATAAGTAACCCATATCTTATCGTTTTAAAAATGTACAAACATTTGAAAATTAGCATTATCTTTTATTTCCGCATTCTTAGATTAGAATACAAATTGTTTTAATTTCTATTTCAGTATTAGGTAATTTATGTATCTTAAATTTTTTATACTTGTTGATATTCACTCTAATAATAAAGTAAAGTAGAAAAACTATGTAACATTTTAATTAATTACTTATATTTTTTGCATTTTGTGAAACTAGATCCTAGTTTTATATTGCTAATGAAAAGTATTTATTATAAGTGTGGGAGAGCCATGCTTTGGCACGAATGGGTCGGCTCGACCGGAGTGATACCACGGCCTCACAGAAAACCGGCGTGAAACAACCACAGCGTTGTGTTTCGCCGCGTGAGTGAGGTTACCGGAAGCCCAATCCTTCCCCTCCCCCAATCCCTCTTCAATCCCTAAATCTCCAAATCCCTTATCCCTAAACGGTCGGCAACGCACTCGTAACTCCTCTGTTGCGGGTGTCCATGGGCGGCGCTGATTGCTTACCATCAGGTAATCTGTCTGCTCGTTTGCCGACCTATTACATAAATAAAAAGTATAGGTATACGTTTGCGTGCACCTTTTTAGGAAAAAACTTGTATAAAATAATTTAAAATATGTAACCTATATTAATAATAGTAAAATTTACCTGTATTGAATTACACATTTTATGGCATGTGGCGAATTCTCTCTGGTAAAGATGGCTGGAAGCTGGATTAGGGATTTGAGGATCAAGAAAGCTGTGAGATTTGCTGGACAGCGTTGGGCCTCTGATAATTTCACTCTTACGGTGATACATTGCAAGCGAAGTTTTCTGAGAGGCCGTGGTATTACGCCAGTATCACACTGAATCATAAAAATACTCAACACACATAGGTACATCATTAGCCTATAAGTGCCCACTGCTAACCGAAGACCTCTTCTCGCACGGAGAAGGTTTGAGCATTAATCACCACGCTAGCTCAAGGAAGATTGGCGATTTTAAACTTATAATTAAAAATTATCAAGCCGTGTCAGTGTCTAAAAAATCATAGAAAGTACATGCAGCTCGAAAAAAGTCACATTGGTACTTAACAAGTTTTGAACCCGGACCCTCATTCATGAGAAGCCTTAACGCTTACCAAAAACGCTTAAAATCCGACTGAAACTTAAAAAAAGGCATCCAAGTTCCAGCTGCCGAGCTGAAGCTAGCAATTTCATTTATCACCCATTGTCTCTGGTTGAATATGTTGTAAATATAAAAACGTCAATCGGCATGTGTCTGGTAGCACAAGTAGTGATTTTGATTAGTCATGGGTGCCCAGTAAAATGAACTACAAAGTATATGCCGTGTACGTTAATAAAACAGACTTACTTGTACTTGTAGCGTATGATCATGCGGCCTTTTAGGAACCATTAAAAATAAAGTTTAATTTTCGAGTACCTAATCAGTAATATTAAAATTTATAACCCCACATTGTTTTAGGGCTTCCTCCATTGCATTACCTTCACTCGGAATAAAAGTATGAACTTCTTACACATTTTTTCAATGATTGATTAGTTTTCCAATCATTCAAATTTGGCGGGGGTTACGGGTGTAATCGCCGCCGTAATGTACAGTGGCCTCAACCTGGAACAGGTGAAAGAACGAGGTGATTTTTTTGTCAGTAAGATCACCCGCCATACCTAGGACGAGAAAATGTATTTGATGATTTTCCTCATACGAAAAAAAATAAGTCCTCAGCCATTAATGTAAGTAACCTTTAATTTTGTATGATACGACGACTTACCTAATGATATTCACTTACTTAAAACTTAAAACTTTGAACTTGCACGGTTCTCTCACATTATGTTATTTTTACATTGTCTGGACTTGAAAAGAGACTGACCTCTGAGTTTGTTTCGGCATTTCTTCTCAGAGTAGTCAGATAGGCTTCATCTAGTTTTTCACATATAAATTGACGTGTAAAAGTACCGTTTTATGGCCTATTTGCAAAAATAAATTCATTGTTTCAATACTGAATCAGTGTATTCTAACAAAAATTGTCATGTTTTTAACCCTAGATTACTACTCTACGTCGCAGAGGCGCCCGCGTTTTTGATATATTGCTTTCTCTTTTCATCCTTTGCGCGTACGGCATTCACGTTCAAGGACATCTCAGTCATCGCCAGCACGTGTCGCAGGACGGTGGTTGCGTTACGGTAAGTGTAATAGTTTTTTTGATATTACTACCCTTGGCGCTCCAAAGACGTATGAGTAGTTTGTATGTAAGTTTTACGCTATTAATCAAATTATTTTGTTAGTGTTTTTTTGTTCATTATTAGTTACTAAAAGTGTGTTTTATCTTTTTTTTAGGTACGTTTTGAAACTTCAACATCATGGCTAGTAATAGAAGAGCTATGGATGATATTATAGCTAATTGGCTAGAAGAAAGCGACCATAACAGTGATGATAACTTTTCGGATGCTGACTCTGAAATTGAAGATCACGTAAGCGATGAAGATGTTCAGGACGATGTAGAAGAAGGATACATAGAAGATGAAACTATAGAGAACTCCAGTGACATAAGAGCTGAAGAATCTGTTTCATCTATTGTCCCTGAAAATAGTGAGAGTTTGGAGCAATCCAGTTCTGATCACCGTATCCTAGTCCCGGCGCGTCGAACATTGAAGGGCAAAAATCAGCACCGTTGGTCTACTTCTAAAGGTGAAAGTCGAGGTAGAACCACTGCTATAAACATTGTGCACACTTCGAGAGGCCCTACTAGGATGTGTAGAAATATCTTTGAGCCTAGTGTGTCTTTTGATTTATTCATCACGGAAGACATTGTTGGTGAAATAGTGAAGTGGACAAATGTGGAAATATCTAGAAAAAGACCTACTGGAAATACCCACGCTACCTGCAGAGATACATGCTCCATAGAAATTAGAGCCTATTTTGGTATTTTGACGCTAACTGCTGCAATGAAAGATAACCACCTAACTGCAACTGAGCTATTTGATAGCACCTTTTCAGGGTCTAGGTATTTAGCTGTGATGAGCAGGGAGCGTTTTAACTTTCTCACGCGTTGTTTGAGAATGGATGACAAGACTTTGCGTCCTGCCTTACGTCAAGAAGATCCTTTTATTCCAATCAGGAAGATATGGGAGATGTTTATAGAGCAGTGCAAGTCTAACTACACACCGGGAAACTACCTAACAGTAGATGAACAATTGGTTGGATTTCGAGGCAGGTGCCCCTTTCGGATGTACATTCCGAATAAACCCAACAAGTACGGAATCAAAATACCTATGATGTGTGACAATGGTACAAAATATATGGTTAACGCTTTGCCATACATCGGAAGAGCCACCGATACCGGAGGATTACCTCAGGGAGAGTACTACGTAAAGGAATTGACCCGTCCTATACATGGCACTAATCGTAACGTGACATGTGATAATTGGTTCACGTCTGTATCGCTGGCCAAATCACTACTTGCTGAACCATACAAACTCACGCTTGTTGGTACGATAAGATCTAACAAACGGGAAATTCCTCAAGAAATGAAAAACACCCGGCGTCGACCTGTTGGTACATCCATGTTCGCCTATGATGGACCTTTGACTTTGGTTTCTTACAAACCAAAACCAGCTAAAATGGTGTTCCTTTTATCTTCGTGCGACGAAAAAGGGCTCATAAATAATGAAACTGGAAAGCCGGAGATGATCATGTTCTACAACCAGACCAAAGGTGGTGTAGATACATTGGACCAAATGACTTCCTCTATGTCATGCTCTAGAAAGACTAACCGATGGCCAATGGCTATTTTGTATGACATGCTAAATATATCTTTTGTAAATTCATATGTTATATATTGTCATAACATATCAACAAAAAATGAAAAACCCCTAAGTCGAAGACAATTTATGAAAAAACTTAGCACGCAGTTGACTACTGAATGGATGCAAAAAAGACTAGAAGCACCTACGTTGAAGCGCAATATCCGGGATATAATTGAAGTCATCCTAAAAAAAACCTTCCGATGACTGCTCTGAAGAAA